AATCATTGTTAATTATCAAAGTCCCAAGATACAAACTCTGAGGTCGCACCTCCACTGCCAAATTGATATCTCGAAACTTTTCAATCAACTCTAATTCTTTCACCATCATACTTGCCATATGCAATGACTTCCTACTTAAAGCATCAACAACCGCATTTTCCTTCCTAGGATGATAAGACAATGTAAAATCATAATCCTTCAGAAATTCCATCCACCTTCTCTGCCTCATATTTAACTCTTTCTGATCAAACAAGTACTTCAAACACTTGTGATCACTAAATACCTCAAATCTCGCCCCAAATAGATAATGTCTCCATATCTTAAGAGCAAAAACCACCACGGCTAATTCTAGGTCATGAGTAGGATAATTAACTTCATGAGGACGCAACTGCCTCGAAGCATAAGCAACTACCCTTCCATCCTGCATCAAGACACAACCAAGCCCTTGCCCAGATGCATCACAATACACATCAAACTTCTGTTCTGGATTAGGCAAAACTAAGACAGCGGCAGATGTTAACTTTTCTTTCAGCTTTTGGAAACTAGCTTCACACTCTTCATTCCACACAAACTCCTTTCCTTTTCTTGTTAACTTCGTCAAAGGAAAAGCTATTTTAGAAAATCCTTCAATGAATTTCCTATAATAGCCAGCTAGTCCCAGAAAACTGCAAATTTCTGTGGGATTAGTAGGCCTTGGCCATTGAGCCACTGGCTCCACCTTTACTGGATCCACTATAATGCCATCTTTTGATACCACATGTCCCAAAAATTGGATTTGTGGTAACCAAAACTCACACTTAGAGAATTTTGCATACAACTGTCTTTCTCTTAGTATCTGCAAAATAATTCTTAAGTGTTCTGCATGTTCTTCATGAGTCTTGAAATAAATTAGAATATCATCTATAAATACTACAACAAATTTATCCAAAAACTCATGAAAAATTCTATAGTCCATGAATACTGCAGGAGCATTAGTCACACCAAATGGCATAACTAGATACTCATAGTGGCCATAACGGGTTCTAAATGCTGTCTTGGGGATATCCTCACTCTTAACTCTGATCTGATGATAACCAGATCGCAAATCAATCTTTGAAAATATGGAAGCTCCTCGTAACTGATCCATCAAGTCATCAATTCGAGGAATAAGATACTTGTTCTTTATTGTTACCTTATTTAATTGTCTATAATCAACACACATCCTCATGCTCCCATCTTTCTTTTTCACCAAAAGAACAGGTGCTCCCCAAGGTGACACACTTAACCTTATAAACCTTTTCTGCAATAATTCTTCTACCTGTTTCTTTACCTCAGCCAACTCCACTGGTGACATCCTATATGGTGCAACAGAAATAGGATTTGCTCCCGGAATGAGATCAATAGTAAACTCAATCTCTCTTTCCGGTGGCAATTTAGTAACATCATCAGGGAAAACTTCTAAAAAATCTCTAACCACGGGGATATACTCAGGCTTCATTTCCTTTTCAGTCTCAATTGAAAATAGAACCATGAAAGCCTTAACACTAATTACATTTTCCAATGGATCTGGACCTAAGAGTTTAGCACTTTCTGATACTTTAGTGCCAAAAATCAAGACTTTCTTTTTACAATCTAATAGAACATGGTTGGATGACAACTAATCCATTCCCAAAATTACATCAAGTTGGGAAAGAGGTAAACAAATCAAATCTATACTAAAACTCCTACCATGTACCATCATAAGACAACCTAAACACACAGAAGAAGTTGCTACAGGCTTACCCGTAGGAGTAGATACAATAACATCACAAGGCAATTCAGATACAGGTAATTCTAGACATCTCATACAATCCACAGAAATAAAGGAATGAGTAGCACCAGAATCAAACAACATATCTACAAGTCAGTCTTTTATGATACATTTACCTCTAATAAGCTCCTCTGATTTTGAAGTCTCGACTCCACTCATAGCAAAAACTTTGCCTTTCACATTTGGCTTTGTTCCAGTGCTTGCTCTAGATTCAGGTCTTTGTTCCACAGTCATGCTTCCGCTCTTTTGTGGAGCAGACCAACAGACACTAGCAGAGTGTCCCATTTTCCCACAAATGTCACATGTTGGTGGAAGTTGAGGACAATTCTTTTTAATATGAGGTCTACCACACTTGAAACATTTTAATGGCCTTCTGAAAGAACCTGAACCACCACTACTATCTTCTTGAGATACAGTCCCCTTCACTTGAGACTGATTTGGACTAGAGTAAGGTCCTCTAGAAAATCTTGGAGGCCTTCGATCTTGCCTCACAGGACCACCAATTCTGGTATCCACTGTCTTACCCTTAGTATTGGCTTCAAATATTCTGCATTTACTCACTAGAGTGGATAAATCTGTCAGCTGGAATACACTAACAGCAGCTCGAATATCTGGCCTAATCCCATGTTCAAATTGAGCACATAGATCTTCCTCTCCATCATTATGTTGATAGTGAGGCCAGTATTTCATCAATTCATAAAATTTATCAGCATATTCACCTACAGACATGTTTCCTTGTTTCAACTCAAGGAACTCCTTAGCCTTCTGTTTCTTTAAATCTCTAGGGAAATAATTTGCCAGGAAGGTTGCCTTGAATGTCTCCCAAGGAATATAACCATCTTCTTGCAGTAGAGTTTGATTAGCAAATCTCCACCAGTTCTCAGCTTCTCTCTCAGCATATAAGTAGCATAAGTTACTTTATACTCCTCTCTACATCCCATGGCATGGAAAATCTTCTCCACGTCTGCTATCCACCTCTGAGCTCCCTCAGGATCAAACTTTCCCTCAAATTTTGGAGGGTTATCCCTAGTAAAAGAAGAAAGTCCTCTATACTCGGCTGGTTCAGCCTCCTGGTTATGTGCCAAAGTCTCTAAGACTTGGGTCATGTGCTCCAGGAGTTTATTTGTAGCACCAGCAAGTCTACCTCTACCAGCCATAGCTCTAATCATGCAATAAACTCAAATCACTTATTAATCTATCATAGATATATCTAGTTCACGTAATTCACATCTAACAAGTCATATTAGCAAATAATCATTTCATATTCTAGTATATCTATTACACAACACAGACATGTTAGTCCCATACCCCAGTCTGGTCTGGATGAACTGCTCTGATACCAAAATTGTAACACCTTATATTTCTTTCCTCAATATATGATAAATTTTCATAAAAATTTAAATGGTAAAATAAATTTTCTTTGAAAACTCCCTAATAAGAAAGAGACATTGAAATGATATAAGGTTCATAGAGTAAACTTTCATTAATTCATAAGTACTTTAGAAAAACAAAGATTCTAGAATTTTCATCAGCAATAAAAAGAAATAGTAGTTTTACAACTGTTTCAAAAGAATGCTATAGAACTAAAAATATTCATTACATAACTCAAAATAACTAAGTCCTATAGCAGTTCTCATCCATCCATGCACTGTGAGCCTGATACTATTCATCCTGATTTCCTGAAAAATATTGTGTAAGGGTGAGTCTCTACCCTACCACTCATACATAACATATACATTCTTCACAAAACACATCTTATCACGATTAAAGAAAACATCATGGCATTACATATCACAGTGTCATATAAAGCATATTCTCATCTCAACGCGTATTACATTACACAGATTCACAATTTCTTTTACTTTTATTCGCGCTTACCGCGCCCTGTGGCCACAGTTATCTGATGCCTCTATCTCGAGGTCTTACACATCCATGTAAATAGTCGCCGGATGGCCCAATGCAATACGGATACAACGCATGCAATAGACGACCCCTTAGCAAAGGTAATGGTCAGGAGTCAAGTCGAGAAATGAGTGTGTGGCCATGTGGTGCATTCGAACACAATATTTCGTACACAATCCCGAATGTCACTCACCACCCTGCATTTCCCTAAGATATCCCATATCGTCTCCATCTTCCACTTCCCCAGTGTATCTCTATAACTATTTACATCATATCTTTTTCCATCTCATACTCTTTCAAGTATATTCACATGTTCACATATGCCATTTATCATGTTCACACATATTCACAATACACATCATTTTTACATGAAACACAATATATTCAAACATGAAACATTCATCTCTTTGTATATTTCATATCACAAAATCATAAAATCATATCAACCATCCTCAATATACCTTATCATGCCTTATTTGGACATAATATCACATTTTTACCATGTATTCATCACAAATCACATAAACAGCCAATTATTCTCACTTTTTACCGATTATTTTTCATAAAACAAGGATTATTCCATATATAATCACATACATGACAAGATCTATAAGAATACAAGTAATAAACATAGCAAAATGATAAAGTAGAGCCCCTCTTACCTCAAAATAGAGCTTTTACAAGGATTTAACCAAAGATTTAACTCTAGAACGGAGTTTTTCCTAAGAACATCATGAACATCTATAAGAAAAAGAAGAAGAAGAGAAACGAACAGTAAATCTAACTTCAAACTTAGAGAAACTTACTTGAAATCCTTTAGAACGGACATAGAATCAATGATCTGAAGAGAAATCTAAGTTTAGGAGGTTTAGTATGGAAGAAAATGGCGAGATATGACCTTAGAACCTGCGAGAACCTTAGGTAGGAGTGAAGAAATGAAAATTTCATGTGAAGCCCCCTCTATTTATAGAAAATTTTTTGAAGATGTCAGCATCAATGTGATGTAAGCGATGAAGTCAGCATGATGCAAGCAATGATGTAAGCGTGATGCAAGCAATGATGTCAGCGTTGACATTAGGGGCTACTGTACATACACGGTTTCTTTCTGCTCACAAAGTACTACAGATTTTTCTTAATGATATACTATAGGCATGACACAAAGCATAGGATGTTACAGAGGTTGTTTCTATTTTCTCTCAGGAACAGAGCAAAATAGTGGTTGAACTCTCTCCCATAAGGATCTATCACCTCATGGGAGGCTATGGCAGAAAAATTATTGGCGAAATATTTTCCTCTCGCAAAAACTGCCAAGATGAGGAATGATATCTCTTTCTTCTACCAGTTGGAGTCAGAGACTTTATACGATACGTGGGAGAGGTTTAAGGAAGTACTATGGAAGTGCCCACATCATGGGATTTTGGACTAGCTTCAAGTGCAAACCTTCTAAAATGGGTTGAACCCAGCCACAAGACAAATTATAGATGCTGCAGCTGGGGGCACTTTGAATAGCAAGACACAAAGGGCTGCACAAGAACTGTTTGAAGAAATGACAATGAACAACTATCAATGGTGCTCCACTCGATCCAAACCTACAAAATCTGCTAGGATTTATAGTCTTAATGCAGTAATATCCTTGGCAATGCAAGTTGAAGCCTTAGGAAAGAAGATTGATGGTTTATCTGTTAACCATCCAGTTGCTTCGGTGATGAGATGTGATATTTATGGAGGAGGCCACCCTAATCATGAGTGTCGAGCTACTCAAGAAGAACATGCCAATGTGATAGCAAACAGACCACTGTATCAAAATTATAATGGCATGAATAATCTGGGTTGGAGGAACTACGCAAACCCACCATGGAACAACAACCAACATCCAATGCGGAACAACACACCCTCAGGATATCAACAAGCCCCATATCCACCACCACCAACAGTTGAAAAGAAGTCAAACCTTGAAGAGCTGATGACCAAATTCATTCAAACTTCAGAATCTCGATTTCTATCCACTGAGACAGCACTAAGGCATCAACAAGCCTCAATCCATAACCTAGAAAACCAGTTGGGTCAAATTTCTAGACTCCTCTCAGAAAGACCCCAAGGAAGCCTACCTAGTAGTATCGAGACAAATCCTAAGGAGCAGGTCAAGGTAGTAACATTAAGGAGTGGCAGAACATTACAAGAGAAGATGAAGCAAGAAATAGAAAAGGATGCAGTTGAAGAGGAAGATAAATGTCAAGAGGAGACTATGGAAAAGCTCCCTGTAGTGAAAGAATTCATACCCCCACTTCCCTACCCAGCAAGATTGAAGAAAGACAAGGATGATGAACAATTTGGTAAATTTCTGTCCTTATTTCGTCAACTTCATATTAATTTGCTATTTGTTGATGTCTTGGCAAAGATGCCCAAATACGCCAAATTTCTGAAGGATCTCCTATCCAACAACAAGAAGCTAGAGGAGTTAGCCACGGTAACTCTGAATGAAGAATGCTCGGCAATCCTGCAAAATAAGATACTTGAAAAATTAAAGGATCCAGGGAGTTTTACTCTTCCTTGTCTCATTGGTAGATTGATAGTTGATAAGGCTTTAGCTGATCTAGGTGCTAGCATTAATTTGATGCCATATTCTATTTTTAAGAAATTAGGTTTGGGAGAACCTAGGCTAACTAGAATGAATATTCAACTAGTTGATAGGTCAATTAAGTATCCTAGGGGTATCATTGAGGATGTGCTTGTGAAAGTGGACAAAATTATTTTTCCTGTTAATTTTGTGATTCTTGATATGGATGAGGACACTAAAGTCCCCTTAATCTTAGGTCATCCATTTTTAGCTACTACAAAAGCCATAATTGATGTGAGTGATGGAAAGTTAATTTTGAGAGTTGGAGATGACAAGGTTACTTTCAAAATTCTTGAAGTAATGAAAAAGTCCTTAAAATAAGATGATTCTTGTTTCTTCCTTAATGTAACTGATTACTTTGTTTCTGACTGTGCACAAGAATTCTTGATGTCAGATCCATTAGAAAGAAGCTTAGTGCATGAAGAAGGAACAGATGATATGGGGCTGCTAGCTCAAGAACAGTGGTGTCATCTAGAAGCCACTAAGCCATTGTTGAGAAAGAGGAACTTTGAAGTTCTGGAACAGAATTCAAAGAAGCAGCCCAGCCCATCCACAGATAAATCACCAGATGTAGAATTGAAAGTTCTACCTGAACATTTGGAGTATGCTTTCTTGGAAGATGGTTGCAAGTTATCCGTCATCATTGCTTCAAAGCTAACACAAGAACAAAAAGGCCAGCTACTAAATATACTTCGGGAACACAAGAAGCCAATAGCCTGGAAGATCTCTGACATAAGGGGGTTAGTCCTTCCTTTTGTACTCACAAGATCTTGATGGAGTCTGATTTTAAAGCTGTCGTGCAACCACAAAGAAGGCTAAACCCAAACATGAAAGAAGTGGTGAAGGCTGAAGTGATTAAGCTGTTGGATGCCAGAATGATCTATCCCATCTCGGACAGTCCTTAGGTGAGCCCGGTGCAAGTCGTTCCAAAGAAAGGAGGGATGACTATGGTTCCCAATGAGAAGAATGAGTTGGTCCCTACTAGAACTGTCACTAGATGAGGGTTTGTATTGATTACCGAAAACTGAATGATGCGACAAGGAAAGACCACTTCCCTCTCCCATTCATTGACCAAATGCTGTAGCGTCTTTCGGGCCACATGTTTTACTGTTACCTGGATGGCCTCTCAGGATACTTTCAAATTCTAATAGCACCGGAAGACAAAGAGAAAACTACCTTCACATGCCCATACGGAACGTTTGCTTATCGCCAGATGCCATTCGGGTTATGCAATGCACCGACAACTTTTCAGCGGTGTATGATGGCTATATTCGATGAGATGGTAGAGGATATAATAGAGGTATTCATGAACGACTTCTCAGTCTTTGGTGATTCGTTCTCCCATTGCCTAAAGAATTTGTCAAGAGTACTTCAAAGATGTGAAGAAACTAATTTGGTGCATAATTGGGAGAAGTGCCATTTTTTGGTACAAGAGGGCATTGTACTTGGTCGTAAAATTTCTTGTAAGGGAATTGAGGTGGATAAGGAAAAAATTGACACAATCAAAAAGCTACCATCTCCTACTTCTGTCAAGGCAGTTTAGAGCTTCTTAGGCCATGCGGGATTCTATCGGAGGTTTATCAAGGATTTCTCTAAGATCACCAAACCTCTGACCAAACTTTTGGAAAAGGAAAATTCCTTTAATTTTGATGAGGAGTGCTTAATTGCTTTTGAGCTGCTAAAAGGAAAACTGACCCAAGCTCCTATTTTGTGTGGTCCATATTGGAACTATCCATTTGAATTGATGTGCGATGCAAGTGACTATGCTGTGGGAGCTATACTTGGCTAGAGAAAAGACAAGCATTTCCAGCCTATTTATTACACCAGCAAGACCCTAACAAGTGCCCAAGAAAATTACACTATAATAGAGAAAGAATTATTGGCTGTGGTGTTTGCGTCTGATAAATTTTTCCAATATTTAATTCTTTCTAAAGTGATAATGTATACTGATCACTGTGCATTACGTTATTTGCTAACCAAAAGTGATGCACAGCCTAGACTAATAAGATGGGTCTTGTTACTGCAGGAATTCTACCTGGAAATCAAGGATAAAAAGGGTTCAGAAAATTTGGCTGCTGATCACTTGTCAAGGTTAGAGAATCCCAACATGGAGGAGTTGGACGAAAAGAGCATTAATGACAAATTTCCAGAAGAACACTTGTACAATGTGGTAACTGCTTCTGAATTATATTTACCATAGTTTCCGGATTTTGCTAAGTATTTGGTTGCTAAGATTTTACCACAAGAGTTTTCAAGTTAACAAAAGAAGAAATTCTTTTTCGACTTGAAATACTACTTTTGGGAGGACCTATATTTGGTTCGGATTTATGCAGACCAAGTCATTAGAAGGTGTGTGTCACACTCCGAAGGGTGGAAAATTCTAGGACATTGTCATACTGGCCCTACTGGAGGACATCATTCTGGGACTAGGACAGCTAAAAAGGTGCTAGAATCTGGATTTTACTGGCCCTCTATCTTTAAAGATGCTCACAGGTATGTTGAGTTGTGTGATAATTGCCAAAGGTCAGGTAATATCTCTCAAAGGAATGAAATGCCTCAGAATTACATCCTAACTTGTGAAATTTTTTATGTTTGGGGGATAGATTTTATGGGACCCTTTCCTAGTTCAAAAGGTAATAAATACATTTTAGTGGCTATTGATTATTTGTCAAAATGGGTAGAGGCACAAGCGTTACCTACTAATGATGCAAGAGTAGTCACTGTGTTCCTCAAAAAGCTGTTTTCACGATTTGGCACACCAAGAGCTTTAATTAGTGATAGGGGTACACATTTCTGCAATACATAACTTGAAAAAGTTTTGAATAAATATGGAGTTACCTATAGAATTGCTACCCCATACCATCCTCAAATGAGTGGCCAAGTTGAGGTAGCTAATAGGGAGTCAAAAAAATTGTTAGAAAAGACAGTAGAAAAGAATAGGAAGGACTGGGTTGATAAATTAGATGATGCCTTGTGGGCTATCAGGACAGCCTTTAAAACCCCCATAAGCACTAGACCATATAAACTTGTGTTTGGTAAAGCCTGTCATCTCCCAGTTAAATTAGAACATAAGGCATTTTGGGCAATTAAATCCCTAAATATGGATCTTGATTATGCAGGTAACAAGAGGTTGATGCAATTGAATGAATTGGAAGAATGGCGCATGGAAGCCTATGAAAACTCCAGGATCTACAAGGAGAAGATGAAAGCCTACCATGATAAGAAAATCAAGGGAGGTAAACTATTCCAAAAAGGTGATTTAGTACTATTATACAACTCTCACCTCAAATTATTCCCAGGTAAACTCAAATCCCATTAGTCTGGACCGTTTACTGTGCATGAAGTATTCCCTTATGGTACAATTGAATTAACTCATCCAGAAAAAGAAAACTTTAAGGTAAATGGACACAGGCTAAAACTATACCAGGGGGGTCAAATTCAAACTCCTCCATGTTGAATGCTGAATCACATTGAGTAGTTTAGGTTAGGTAGGTTTAGTTTGTTTTCATCTGATTGATTATTTGTTTAGGTTAGGAAGCTTTAGTTTATTATAAATTAGTTGTTTATCAGCTCATTTATTTTCAATTATTCATAATCATAATAAAAATAAAAATTAATTAAAAGAAAGAATAAAGAGAGAGAAGGCAGTGAGATACACGGTCATCTACACAGCCATGTATATGGCCATGTACTTTTGTGTCATAATATCTCTGCTAGGCAGAGATGTACACGGCCAGATACACGACCATGTACTTCTTTTTGCTTAGGCAAGGCCCTGGCAGGGATGTACATGCCCAGTTACACGCCAATGTAGTTTTATTTTCTGTGGTACAGAGATATACACAGTCAGATACACAACCGTGTATCCAATCGTGTACATGCCTAGTTTCATGTTCTGTTTTAAAATCCCTTGATCCGTGATTAACACTCCCAGATACACGGCCGTGTATCTGGCATGATGATTTCAAACCAAACCCCTTCCCTTGTTTTAAATCCCGCGCTGTGCCTCTATTTTTATAAACCCTATTTTAAATCCCTTTCAAAATCTAGGTTTCCTTCTCCTCCTCCTCTGGTTCTGGTTCACTATTCCTTCTTCTCTACAAAACTCCACCCTCTCAAACCCCAAATTTTTCCAAAGCTCCACACTCCCACTTTCTCTTTTCCCTCTACACAGAAAATTTCTACAACTCCTTCTCATCCCTCTCCACGCCCAGTGTAACGGCGACGACGACCGTGACCAACAATCTTACTACTTTTAAATAACTTGACGTGTAATGTATACAGATTGCTATTAAGAGTCTTGGACCAAATGGGATTTTTTTTTTTATGAAACATGAGTGCATAGGATTATTCAACCTAGTTTATGGATACCATTATCATTCTTGAGTATTGAGAAACTTACTTCTGATATAATTTAAAGTGACACGTGGTCCCGGCATGGATCTTGATTCTTCATGCCCGTGTACTTGGGCGTGTACTTTCACGTACGTCAGAATTTAAACTTCTACAAGAAAATAAGCCCTAGGACGATTCCTATAAAAGGGAAACTCGAGGGGACACTATTTTGAGGAGAAGAAAGACTTAGTGATGGCGGGAGGATGGGATCAAGCACTTTTATTCATCTCTTTTGTAATTTTAGTTTTAAGATGTTTAGGTTCTAATTTTCCTTTGAGTATCTAGACGTAATGAATCCTAATTGACCAAATTTTCTGAAATTCTTCTAATGTTATTTCATGTTATTTTCTCTTGGGTTTAATTGAGTAGTATCAATTGTCTTCCATCTTGTTTTCTTGTTTGAATTTGAGTAAAATTCCTGCATGAAATTAACATTGCTCAATTAAAAGGACTTGAATGTATTTCTAGAGATAGAAAGACGTAAGTTTTTTGTATTAGGATTAACCCTAATTATGGAATTCATAATGAACTTAATGCAACCTAGGGGTATTAATTAAGGAAGAGATTTCGATTGATCAATCGAGGGTTAGGAATCGTTATCCTTGGGAAAGGTATTGATTTAATTCAGAATTTTCTGCAACGATAAGGGTTTGGAACTAAGTAGTTGAAGAAGAATTTTAGTTATTTGGACACTTAGGAGAATTTACAGTCTAGATACTCGCCTTTTCCCCTTGAATACCTTTAGTCATACTTTTCTATAATTTATTATCATAAGAAATCTGTTCCTTTTAATTTATTATTCTTCTATTTTTGGTAATTTTATCAACAAAAATTTACTTCTCATATTCATTAAGAATTGCATAATTAAGGAAGTAATTCTTAATAACAGTCCCTGTGGATACGACACTTGGTACTATATTTTTCAT